TATTTTATAGCTATGGTTAAATTCCCCGTAGATCTACTTAATCTACTTATGTAACTCTTTTACCAGCCCGGTCTCATTTATAAAAGCAACACTAACCAAAGATGGTTGGTATTTGCGGTTGCTGTTTGCTTGCTGTTGGTATTCACCAGGCTTGGCTAAAATTCAGGTAACCAGTAGCTTAGCTATTTCCAGCTTGCTGTGGTCAATGCTGTGGAAATTATTACTGTGATAAATATACTTTTGCAGAGAACATGATGAGCGCTGGCTGGATTGCCCTGGGCTTTCATCAAACAGTGGCCAGAAAGAAATATGAATGTGAGAGCATACCTAACTCAAATCGTTCTCCCGTCTTAGCGATGTGGACTAAAGATGCAATTATGAATCATGACTTATGAGTTGAATTTAGGTCAGCAGAAGCTCGCTAATTCTTTCTCCTCCTAACCACAGCCTGTATCTTTTTCTTCTTTGGAACGCTATCCCAACTCCTGGGAGGGATTCAATAAGAATAATGGGACATCTAGTAAGACTAAAATGATTTCACAGTTTGCTAGTACGCTATGAATAAGGAAACGTAGACATCCTTTTTGAGCATAGCAAAGGTTTGTCTTGATTTTTACTCTATTTTTTTTCATGGATCAGTCTTTCAGACTTGGGGATTTGCGATAGGTCTTCTCATCTCTTCTGCAAACTGGCAAACAAAAATGCACAAGTCTTAAAAGATGAAATTGGAAACGCTAGTGGGGATTTTTCAAAGCAATTTTCTCTGTTTTTTTTTTTACATTAGTCAATAAAAAATTCCTTTACACATCCTCAAACTTCACTACTCCCAGGCGGCTATTACTGAAGCTATTACTCATCTCTAAAGTGGAGAAATCTAAGGACACAGTCACTGACTGTAATCACTTTAGGAAGAAAAAGAAACCTTGGAGAACTGATGGCACGTCTGAGTTATAGGAAGAACCCCAGAAGATGATACATGTGCTTTAGTGGAAGAGATTAAATTGATTAATGAAACTGATTTTTTAAATCTATTAGTGTAGAGAAAATTGGAGGGTAAAGAAGAACTAATTTTAATGATCTCCGTTCTTAAATTATCTTTTTTATTTGCAATTTAACGTTTTTTGCGATGCTGAGAGATTCAGTGGAACCCAAGGAGCAGGGAAGAATATACTTAGAGAAGAGAGGTTTATATTCTAATTGGAAATTTAAATCTTTTCAATTTCAAAGGATTTAAAAGAGAAACAGTAAGCGCCAGATAACAGATTTATCGGGAGAAGCAGACTAGATAGGTGTAACTTTTGTTGGTTCTCTTTCCACCCCTTCAGATCCATGCTCTGGACTCCTGGATAAGCTCTTGGGCCAGTTCTATAGGCTTCATTACTTCTTTTAAGGCCAGGAACCATCTTGCCAATACTTAAAAAAAAAAATTCCATCTTCTGAGTAGTATAAAATCTCCAGATTTGTATCCAGTTAATATTTGAGCCCGACCCCACTCCCCCTGCAGTTTGAGGTCGGGCTCCTCTTCAGTTAGCTAGCTCCTTTCTCAGGCCCCTCCAGGGTCTAGGGTCCAGCCCAGACCCAAGATGACTGGGGGATGGGCACATCTGATGGAGTTGGTGCAGCTGCCTTGTGGCATCAGGACTTTTGTAGCGGTTGCACAATTGCGGCTTCTTTCTCTTCTGAGGCTCTTTTGTAGCTTTCTTGGAGAGCACCAGGCTGGAAGCGTTCAACTTCAGTTCCCTTGACTTGGCTTTACCACCTGTGCTGGCTGCTCCCTTCTGGCTGACCCCAGACCTCCCCTCTCCCCTCCCCCTCCAGCTGCATGGGCCTCCTACCTCCCCCAGCTCCTGGGTTTCTGATCCCTGCTCAGTCATTTGCCTGTCCGGCCAGAATTCTTTTCTGATGGCTGGCAGCTGGCTCATTTTCCCCTCTGCTCTTCACTGTCACTAGGCAGATATGACCCTCACTACATCCAGGGGGTACTCACAAACTTCTGAGTAGTTCCTTACAGCCCTCATTTGACTCCTGATGGGCAAGACCTCCCATCCCTTTCTCCCTGATGGTATTCTCCAAATGAATCCTTTACCTTTCCTATCAGTGTGGAGGTATGGGGTGGGCTAAAGCTGAAAAGGTTTCACAGTTTTTTTGATGGATCCTCATAGTTGGTCCAGCACTTCACTTCAGGATGAGAAAATATTGCCTTTGGGACCTCTGCTAAAATGGAGACAGAGGGGGTCCCGTTTTAATATCCTCAAATGATTAAAGTGGGCTTCAGGTATTTTATTTCTTTCTTTTGAGTGTTTCCTTTAAACCTGTATTTTATCCCCATTATTTCCTTTGACCTGGACAATCTGGGGTCCCAGAGAGAGTTCATGAGGACCACCAGTATTGGTGGTGGTTTGCTGGAGCCCTTCCCACAGACTCTGGGCAGCGAGGGAAGGCTCCACAGATGGCGGGTGTGCCCACACCGGCTCCCATCCAGTCCCGCCTGCTGGGGAGCAGGGCTCTTGTCTGGCAGGACTTGGGAAGCTACCCAGAAGCATTCCTTCTGCCCACTGGAGCACAGCATAATGGCGTTGGAAGACGAATGCTTCAGTAAGCAGTAAACGCTGATTTCTGGCTACGTTAATTTTTCATTTTACAGTCTTTGTAGCCATTCGAGGTGATAAGATTAAGCTGTAAAACCAGATTATCATTCTCCTTTTAACAACTGAATATAAAAGCAGCACTGTTCTCCCTAAGTGCTACACTAGCTTTCCACCTTTCTTGATTTGTTATCTATCCAGAAGACAACAGCAGATTTTAAAGCATAAGAGAAGTGTTAAAACTAAACGGAACTGGCGAGAGAGCTTATGAATAATTAAATCCATCTAGACATCCTCGTAAGAGATCATTCGCTTGGCCTTGGAATCCGTACGCTAGTGAGTAACAAAGAATACAGTTGCTGTACGAGCTCCCAGGAAGTTTCAGCTCTTCACAGGAAGGATGCTCAGTGAGAAGGGAAAAGCAGAAAACTTCCCACACAAATTCTTTGTTCAAAACAATTTAGTTTTATCCCATAGTTTCAACATGTCAGTAACACAATCTGTTATGTTGCAATTGAATTTTGGAAAGTTCTCAATAAATGTTAAGTCTTAGTCATTATTTCCTGAAGTTTTACTAAATTAGTAACATTGCAGGCTAATGACTCAATTTTGTTCTTATATCATTGTTCATAGGCTTAACACACATGGATCGTGCCCTGTTATATAACATTTAACGTAGGAACATTCACAAGGGACAGTTATGGTTCTAATTCTATATCATTGTTGCTTACTACTTTAAAATGGGAAAGTGGGAGGCTTCATATGATTTCTGTAATTAATTTTAAAACAGCATTTTATAAAATGCCGTTTGGATAAAGATTTTGTTTATATTGGGAAGGGGGGGAAAATCCTAAATGTCTTTTACTCAGAGAGATTTTCATTTTCCGGTTTTATCATTAGGCTACACACAGTCGCAGTTACTCAGCCAACCCTGAGAGTCTCTTGCAAGGCTGCCCCACCAGAATATTCCAGTTAAAGGACATGAGATCTAGTGGAGAGTGTTGTTGTTAGAGCTTTGCTAGATCATAACCTCTTCCACATATACCTCACCCCCCTCCACACACACAGGCTCACTCCATCACCAGTTGCTAACAAAACTGGGATCTAACTGCTGCTTTCCGGCTTGGCCTTCATCAGCTTGGTCCAACCCCCCCTCATGTCTCACTGGGACTGGATTGGTGTCAGGTGCCTCCTACATAAAGCAGCTAGAAGAATCCTGTATTTCTTGCTCCTTAAAATCCCTCAGAAGCTGCTCACCGGGAAGAAAATCCCAGCTCAGAGACCTTGCCTGATCTAGCCCTGCCCCCTGCCACCTCATCTCTTAGCCCCTTGGGCTCTCCGTGTTCTCACTCACACTGCCCTCCACCCAAGCACTTCCCTACCTCAGGGCCTTTGCACGTGTTGTTCCTCTGCCTGGAATGCTCTTCCTCCAGATTCTGAACTCACTGGCTCCTCCTTTTCCCTCGGGGTTAATAAAGCTATCTCCCCCTCGGAGAAGCCTTTCTAGCCTCCAATCTAGGACCCTCCTCCTTCCCCGAGTTGTTTCAGTCTCCCTCTTTATTCCCTCATCAGATGTCTCCCAATCAGTAATTATCCTATTTGTCTCGTTGGATGCCTGCTCTGTGACACCAGGGACAGGGCATTCTTTGTTCATTGCTGAATCCCCAGTATGGAGAACAGTGCAAGTCGTATGGGCTCAGTAAATAGTTGTTACGCAGAGGGAAGGAGGGAGGGAGTGAATACGTGTAGCTGCTATGTGTCTGGATGGATTTTTCCTATGTAAAATTATTGTTGATCCTGCAGGGCTGTGTATCTTGCCATGTCTTAATTATTTAAAATTGCAGTCATATTTTCTCATCAATTTACTATAGTTGCAGTTGATCTGCAAAAGCTGTATTTCTAGTCCCAAACCTAAGAGCCTATGACCCTCACTTTCACCTTCTTCTTGCAGAGGATCTATGGGCTCTAACCCTAACCCTAACTTAATAATATATATGGGGCTGAAATTCAGCCACTCATGCTGTAGTTTGAATGTGATCTTTTCAGAAAATAGCATCATCATCATTATCACTGTTACTCTTTTCAAACTGTAGTAATAATGTCTACAGTAATGATTCCCCTACTAGAGTAAGGATGAACTTGATTTTTAAAATCTAGTGGTTTTAAAGTATAAGTTCATTTTTAAGAACTTAGCCGACGTGGTCAACTGAGAATCACACGCACTATGAATTGACAGTCAGCTTTCTCTCCACTGCTTTGTTGCGTACTCTAGAGTGTTTGCTGTGATGAATCTGAAATCGTTCACTTCCCCCAAAAATAATTTGGGTGGGGAGAGCTGATCTTTGACTTTCACTTATTTGGGCTGGCATATATTTTTTTTAACCTCTCTCTTCCTGGTCTCTCCAAATAACACAGAGTACGTTTCCTGATGGGGGGACGTCACGGAGAATTTAAGTTCCTGCCTCCCTCTGGCTATGCCCCTTGTTACGAAGCCTTACTTCCAAAAGAAAAGATGAGATTGGAGCCTGTCAAAGAGTATAAACGTGATGCTGAAGGTGTTCGAGATCTGCTGGGTACCACCCAGTTCCTCTCCCAAGCTTCTTTCATTCCGTGCCCCATAGATACCAGTCAGGTAAGTCTGAGCTGCCAACAGAAGGCAGCCCATGGAGATGATGCAATAGGGTTAAATCCTCCTTGCTGCATTGTCTTTGAAACATTCTTATCATACATTCTACTGAATTGTCGTGATGCGTGAACAGCCATTATTCTTCACGTTTCCACCATATGCGGCAGTTGAGCTCTTGAAGGATTTTGCAACCAATGAACACGGTTAAGCACTTGCTACATGCAAGGCACTGTACTAGGTTCTGTGAGGCATAGGCAGACGTGTGACAGTATTCTCTGGGAATGCACAACCAAGCTGAAGGGATAAGAAGCAAATGTGTTATTTTTTTTCAAGTCCAAATGTAATACGCAGAATGATCGTGTACACAAATAAATGCTAGAGACGTCCTTTACGCTAGAATGTTTCTAAAAGTCTGTGTAGAGAGAATGGCGTTCAGTCAGGACTTTTAATAAACTTAAATGGGGAGGGGCGTCCAGGGGTGAAGTAACAGGAATGGGAGGAATAAGAGCCTGGAAGTAGAAACACAAAATAGGGACAGGTGGCAATGAATATTCTCCTGTGGCTGGATGCTTGGAGGAGGAGCAGGTAGGAGAAGCGTGGGAGGTAAAACTGAAAGCAACAGGGGAGAGCATGGAGCCCTCAGAAGGTGCTGGTAAATGGACATTTTCTTTTTTTTTTTTTTTTTTTAAGTCTTTATTGGAGTATAATTGCTTTACAACGTTGTGTTAGTTTCTGGTGTATAACAAAGTGAATCAGCGATACATATAGACATATCCCCATATCCCCTCCCTCTTGCGTCTCCCTCCCACCCTCCCTATCCACCCCTCTAGCTGGTCCCAAAGCACCGAGCTGACCTCCCTGTGCTATGCGGCTGCTTCCCACTAGCTATCTATTGTACATTTGGTAGTATGTATAAGTCCATGCCACTCTCTCACTTTGAAATGGACATTTTCTTTACCTTCCCAGGGTCTCTGTTTTGAGAGACACACGTTCACACAGTTATGATGAGCATACAACAGCTTTCCAGTGCCTCTGCCACGCCAGTGCTATTCACATCACTATTCTACATGTTAGAGAAAATAAATGTAAAGGCACCTTGTCTCTGAGGCACTTGGGGTAATAATTTGTAGGAGTATGGCTCTTTTAACCTGTAGATGGTCTCTACAGTATATTTTCCCATAGTATCTCTATGACCCTATTACATTCAGCTCTGTGTGCGCGGTCATGCGTCTGCTTCTTACCTCCTGTAGCTAATGATTGTGAATTCTCATTGTCTAGAAATCACAGTGTCTCTCTGCCTGCTTCACAGAGCCTAGTACAACACCAGGAATGTAGCTGGAGTTGAGAATGTTGTTAGGAAACGAGGTAGGAGTTGTGAGCCAGAGGTAATCCTAGGAATCGGATCATCTGCTTGCTGTGTATTTTAGATAAGAAGTTTGAGGGCCAAAGAACTAAACTAGCTTCTCTGTGGACACAAGGTGGTTAGTGCCCAACCAGGGAGAGGTTGTACTCATGGACATGATTCCTACTTCTCTGTGCTGCCCTCCTTACCAAGTTATCAGAGACGTAGGTATTACTCAGAAAAGACTTCCTGGAGGAAGCAAGCCTCAAAGAGAGTTCAAAAGAATGAGGGGAAGTTTTGATGAGGGAGGAAAGAAGGACTGGACCAGAGTGTGAAGAGTTACTAAACATACAGAATAGAAGATTTGAAAATCAAAGAGTGGAGATAAATCAACAAGCCAGATGAACTTTGATGTCTAGACCCAAAGCTGAATATGTATAGACCCTGGAATGAGGGAAATGTTGCTGCTGGGAATCAAATAATAAGGAAGTTCTCATTGGAAAGGTGCAATTTATTATTTTGAATGAGACTTTGTAATTTTTTAGAATCTATATCCGTCTGTGAAATTATTGTCTAAAGAGAAGTTAAATACGAGATACACAGTCAACTCCATCCTGCTTGGGGCACATTAACCAGTTTGCAGATAAAATGTTGTTGATTAGATCCCTGTCCTTCAGTGCTACCTGTGTCCAGTGCCTGAAGCACCCCCAGGCCCTTGCTGAGCGCTGCGGGGGAGGAGCCCAGCTCCTAGCAGCCTTCCCTGGGGACGTCAGTCTCAGGCCCCAGACACCCAGGAGGCAGTTACCAAGCCAATATTACTCTATCCCAGCTAGTCACCAGTTGAGGTCACTGAAATTATGATGTAGGATTGTTTGTGGAGGCTTCTTTCCACATTTCCCCCTTTTGCTGAAGCAAGTGGTTCCTTCACATGGAAATCCCCCTTCAGGCTGTGATTAATTTAAACAGATTAAAGTAGTTAACCAATAAAATTCAAATACAGTTGTCATTTGTTTACTAATAAGTTTCCCCACTTTGCTCCTTATCAAAACATTGTGCCACTTAACTTTGACTTTTCAGTAATAAGTTGGGTTTTTTTAAAAGAGTGTCTTTAGTTGAAAGGCCAATAGTGGTTATGACACATAGTTGAAATATTTTATTGCTACTTTTCTCTGTGGTCTCCTTATACATCACTGACTTAATATACTTTTTCTACAAAAAAAAAATATATACATTTTTTCCATGAGCTCCTCTCCTTGAAAATAATTGGGATTTTTGCAAGTAGTGGAAACATTTATAATCATTATAATAGAGCTAGAATTGTAGGAGCCAGGGAGGTGATACAGAAGGGAAACAGGTCAAGTGTGCAGGCCCTCCTAAAGCAGGGGGCCATTTCTTAGCCCCAGCTGACTAGTTGCCAGGCAAAAGTGTGGGGCCAATGTTAGCAATCTTTTGACTGGTCAAGGGAAATTAGAAATCTGGATTTTTATATGAAATCTCCTATTTCTTAGGAGCTATCAACTAATAAATGAAAATGGCAATAATTAATTGTTTATTGTTATAATTGTAGTAGTAGTAAATTAAAGAAAGAGGGGGAAAAAAGAGAAATTTGAGTCCCCAGTTTGTGACCTTTGTGGAGAGACATGAGCAAGGTACCAGGAAAACACAGAGAAACTTTTCCTGAAGGTACCTGGGGAAGACCTCCAAAAGGTAGTGAGGCATTTGAGCTAACTCCGGAAGGATAAATACTGAGGGAGTTTGTATTAAGACCAGAGCTGGACAGCAGTTAAAGGGGTAAAGACAGAGTTTTGCTTAGAAGTTATTGCAGTAGGGGAAAAGGAACTCCACTATAGAGCTGGGGTCAGTTCTGAATACAACACAAACAATTGGGGATTTACAGCCAAGGAGCAGGTTTGGGGTGGAGGTGCGGTGGGCGTGTCAGTGGTGGAAAATTCCTAAGAGGAACATCAGGGGTTGGGATGGATTCTTGCTTAAATGGATCTAACAGGGGGGAGGATGGGGGATGAATAAGTTTGATCAGACATGGAGGGTGATCACATATCAAGGGTGTAGATTGTCACGAAAGTAATTTAGCAAGATTCTAGCTAAAACTGGGATCTTGAGGACAAGGCCCAAGGATCGAGCCTTGTCAGAAATGGCTCAGAAGCACCCATCTAGAGCTTGGTCCAAGGAGAAAGTCTTTGTCATTTGCCATGTGGCATGGGGGTGGCGGGTATACATATTATGTGTGTCATGGGGAGTACTAATAAGAATTAAGGTTACGTGTGCAAGGGCACAGAACTGAGCAACAGTGGCCTTTGGGGAGAATTTCAGGGGCTTTGAAAGGATGTGTTTGGGAGGACCGTGACGAGAGGACTGAGGAATGGCACTATATGCTCGGTTAATACATCTAGGCTGTGCCTTGGGAGTGTCAAGGGGCACTTGGAGGTACTCAGGAGGAGGGTGTCTTGATGTGGCTGTGTTGTCGTGGGCTCATCACTCTGGCCACAGTGTGAAGAATAGATCGGCGGGGAGCTGGGGAGACCAGCTGTAAAGCTCTTGAAATGGTCCGGGTAGAAAACAACGAGGTTGAGTGACGTAGAGGAGGGGAACCTTCAGAAAGATGATTAGGAAATAAACATGTTGGATTTTGTGACTGATTAGGTGTTGTTGGTGGGGGATGTAATGCCAAGAGAAAAGACTCTAAGATGACTTTATGGTGGGGTCATTCAACGAAAAGAGAAAATACAAATAAGACAAGCAAAAGGTTTTGAAGGAAAAATAATGCATTCAGCTTTGAATAACATGCTCAGTTCACTTTGGTGGGAAAATCCTGCAGGTAGTTGGAACAGTAGGTCTGAACTTCAGGAGAGACCATGGCTGGAGGCTGGATGGTCAGGAGTGACCATCTACAAGTGGATGAGATCTCCCAAGGAGAGAGTTTAGAGGAAGGGGAGATGTGGTCCAGGGGAAGCCAGGAGAAGAAGGAATCTCTAGAAGTAGCCCCTCCTGGGTGATGTGTAGAGAATTCAGCTGGGGCACACGATCTGTCTAGATTTTATGACAGATTTCAGTACGGTTGATTCTTGCAGTTCTCACTTCTCACTTATTCCTTTTCCTTTTAGGTTGTTTTACCACCTCACCTAGAGAAGATCCGAGACAGGCTGGCTGAAAACATCCACGAGCTTTGGGGAATGAATAAAATAGAGCTTGGCTGGACTTTTGGCAAGGTATGTCTTTGAGTGGCCGGGCCAGGGTGGAGGGTGGTTGGGTTGCCTTGTTACCTGGAAGCGTTCTTCAAAGACTCAAATGAGAAACAAACCTCACAAGCCCAAACCCACTGGTTCTTACTGACTCCCATCCAGCTCTCACTGAGTACAGCAGCCTTGCTTGGGAGTTTGTTGAACTGCAGTCAGGAGTGCTGGGGAGACCAGCTCTGCACAGACAGACCCTGAAGCCTGTCTCCTTCTTACTCCCAGATGCTGGTCTTTTTCTTCAGGGAATATCGAATGTGGTCAACCCTTAGCTCCTCCTTCAGAGCCTCACATCTCCCTTTCTCTTCAGAAAAAGCTGTTCTCTCTGCATGGCTAGTGAAAAGAGGCTGATTCATTGTTGTGAATCAGAATTTGTTTAGTGTGGCTTTCAGATGCATCACTAAGATTAATGGACACGCAGAGGAGGTTAAGGAATCTCTTTCACTAGAAAACATTTTTCAAAGGGGATGTAAATTGACTTTGTTCTGTGACTTGTATAAGGTCATGTCTGAAGGCAGAAGGACCTGTGATTCTGAAGCTCCCTACGACCCTGACACTCTCAGATTATGCACATTCCAGCTTAGTTACTGAAAGTGTACCTGCACTCTAGCACTTATATATTGATATAGCTCCCAGAAATATCCTCCTTATATATGACCACCTCTTTGCTGTATGCTCTTTTAACACCACAAACCTCTCCTTTGAGAACGAATTACAATTGCAATTGTAAATTTATTTCTATGATGATTGTATTACTACTGCATCAGACTGTATCCTTCATGGCGCTGGGGCTACCCCAGCTCACCATTGAACTCCTAAGGTCTAGCTCACTGCCCACCACATAGTAGACATTCAACAAATGTTTGTGGAATGAATGAATGAATTAGTTAATGTCTGGATCTACACCGTCCAGTACAATAGCTATGGGCCACATGTGGCTACTGAGCACTTAAAATGTGACTAGTCTGAGTTGAGATGTGCTGTAAGTGTAAAATGCACATTGGATTTTCAAGACTTTCTATGAAAAACTAATATAAAGTAGCTCAGAGATAATTTCTTATATTAATTACTTGTTAAAATGGTAAGGTTCCAGGTGTATTGGGTTAAGTAAAGTACATTATTAAAATTCATTTCACCTGGTTTTTTCATTTGTTTGTTTTGTTTTGTTTTTGCTTTTTGTTTTCTTGCTTTTCTCATATGGCTACTAGGAAATTTGAAATTACAAATGTGGTTGACATTGGTGGCTGACTTTGTGCTTCTATTGGACAGTGCTGGCCCAGATTCTGTAGTCCTTTATGTTCTGAAGAATGCTACCCTGCAGTGGCACTATGGTTCCCTGAGTTTGGGACAGGGAGGGGCATGGCTACCACGCATAAAATGGCTTCTCTAGGAAAGTATGTTCTGAATGCAGACACTTGACTAGAAGCAGTCCACAGAACACAAGCCACAAAACACAAGCCTGGGGACAGCGTGTATCATTTATTAGAGAGAAGATCGTCTATTTGCCTGTCAGCAAATATCTTTCTTTGTCTTGCCTGATATAAATTACCTGGGCCATGTTTCAAAGTGTGTCTTTTCTGTTTCCCAAGGCAGTGCCAGCTGTCAAAACTTAAATTATATTCTTTCTTACGTTGTCACCTAGGTACGGGATGACAACAAAAGACAACACCCCTGCCTTGTCGAGTTTTCAAAGCTGCCTGAAACTGAGAAGAATTATAACCTACAAATGTCAACTGAAACCTTAAAGTGAGTGTTTAACTGAATTGAATTTGGACTAAACAGTGAGTGGATGATTTAATGCCTTATAACTAAACTACAAACCTGTTGTCTCTCGAAAACATGATGCATTCTGACAGATTAGCCAGGCTGGGGATTATTCATGCCACGAAAGGATTCAGCATAGTGAATAACATATCTACTATTGTTATTTAGCATATATGGTTCTTTAGAGACCATTTGCTATTTGCCAGGGACAGGGAAAAGGTAGGCAGAAAAAAAAGAAGAGAAACTTAGAATCAAAGGACCAAGTGCCTCTTCTAGTTCGTGTATAATCAGGAAAGAAGATAAGATATATTGTAGGTTCTAGGTCATACTGAAATTGGACAACTTAACCTCTCTAAGTCTCCATTTTCTCATCTACAAAATGAGGTAGGTTAGTAATAGTTCTTATCTCTATATAATTGTTGTAATGGTTCAATGAGATGATAAATATTTTTTTTAAAAGATAAGGCATTTCTAAAAATGAATGGGGAAACATGGTTTAATTCACAAGAATTCAATTTAAAAGTAACTTTTAGCTTCTCTGTGATCCCACCTGTGGTTTAAACCCTGATTCAGATCTTCATTTTATATCTCCCTTCTCGAATTCCCTTTGTGCTTGTTACCTGTGCTTCTCTGCATTGTGTTTCTCTGTCTGATAGTTGGTGCAGAACTTTTTAACACTGTGGTTTTGCTGGCACAGTGATGCTCTTTCAGGTTGCTTTGTCTCATAGGGTCCCCGTATGTGATGTCTTCCATCATACCGACCCTTCTTGAGGATGTGGCTTTGGTACCTCATGGTGTCCAACACAGCTCAAGGCACTTCATACAGGGAGCACGTGGGAAATACTTGCTGACCTCTGGGTTCTCCCAGAGGGGCTATTAACTAACTTTTTGTTGCATTCTTGCTACCGTCTAAGTCACAGGTTGGCAAACTAAGGTCCACAGGCCAATCTAACCAGCCACTTATTTTGGTAAAAAAGTTTATTGTAACAAAGCCAAGCTCATCAGTTTGTGTACTTTCTATGGCTGTTTTTGCTCTGCAATGGCAGAGGTGAGTAGTTGTAGCAGAGACATAAGGACCACAAAGCCTGAAACGTTTCCTCTCTCGCCCTTTACAGAAAAAGTTTGGCAACCTCTGGTCTAAGTGAATGAATATTGTCTGTTTTTATCACTTCAGACACAGGTTAGGGTTCTCACTGTCCTCCATCTTGCAGTTGACCCTTGTTTCCTCTCTCCGTTACGTCACAGAACCCTCCTGGCCCTGGGGTGCCACATCGCTCATGTTAACCCGGCTGCTGAGGAGGATCTCAGGAAGGTCAAGTTGCCCAAAAAGTAGGTGATCATTTAATGGTCAGAGCCTTTAATGCTTCAGTCTGAATTTTTAAACTGGGAGGACAGGAGGCCCATGCACAGAGGCAGGTGATGGCCCCAGATACTTCTAGCACCAGCCCAGGATGTCTCCACCAGGTACCTAGACTGCCCTGAAACCCCCAGACGGAAGCCGGCTTAAGTAGAGTATTTTCAGTGCTTCTGCCTGGACCTATACTACTGTCTACTATGGTTAGTTTTGAGCCAGATGTGGCACTCAGATGGATGCGCTGTGTTGATCTATAAGAATAGCAGTTGGCACGGGAGCTTGAAGATGGTCGGTAGCCACAGCAAAGATTCAGTCCTCTGTCACTGGGCCAACCTTGCAAGTCCCTCGTGAAAATGTGTGTCACTGCCAAGATTTAATTTGGCCCCTAGATCTGCACGTGTCCTCTCCCTCTCGTCCACGCATTCACCGAGCCATATGTTCTCACGCATTCAGATGCGAGCCCACGGGCGTATCCCCTGGCTCACTTGCTCACCTGCACATGTGCCAGCCTTGGGTGCGCACGCATTCACACCCAGGTGTCGTAATGACTTATGAGCCAAGGCAGTGCCAGCTCTTAATCAAATGCTTATCTTCCCCTTCCTCCCTGTGAAACTCCCAAGCTGCCAAGCTCCACTCTCAGAGGCAGCTCCTGGTGCCAAGAGCAGCTCATCTGAGAGGCAGCAGCTGAGAGGTGGCTGGGGGCGGTGCTCAGCAAACAACACATGTTGACTCTGCCCAAAGTCAGGCATCCCTAGAAGGTGGATGAGGGGCAATATCATGCCTACAGTCGACCTTGTATCTCGCGCTGCTCACAGGTTCTTGGGTCGAGTAGCGCTGGTCTGCAGGTCATCACATTTAGGCTCTGGCCCTGCTCTGGGCAGTCCGTGGCCTTGGGGCCCTGGATGCCTCTGGACTCACATTCGCACATGACTGTGGTCAGTTGCTCTCCTGTGAGTCACTCCACACAGGGCCCTGCTCCTCTCCACTCACACGAGGCGTCTACCTGGACTCACACTGAGCGTTTCCCGTCTTCACGTTATCTATCAAATTATCTATCAAATTACAGACATTTGTGGCTCCTGGACTGGACAGCAAACCATGAAGATCATTCAAGCTCACAAACTCTCTAATGTTATGATTTTTTTAAACTTCTCAAAATGAAGGTTTAGTTTTCCAAGACTGAGTGATCATTCTTTGCTGATTTGTAAGAAACCATTTGGTTCAAGGTCCTGTCCATGCCCATGTGGTCATAAGCTTTTGTGCTTTTGAAGCGAGACCAAGGAGCTTCGGGTGATGTTACATTACACTGAATGTGCCCATCGTTTGTAGGGCAGAGTAGTTTTCTTAGGAATAAGGGTGGATTTGCACAGACCATCCACTTTCTCCAACAGTCACCTTAATCTGTGACATGCATTGGCAAAAAGGATGGTGGATGAGGGTCTTCTTCTAAAGACTTGAGATAGAGCTGAGTGTCCATTCTGCCAAAGATAGAATCTGTGACTGTAGCTTTATTTTCCTAGTGTTCTGACCCTGTGCTATTGGTCTAAAATCTGGAATGGGGGAGTCATACAGTTCTGTTCAAAATATATATTTTCCACTTACTTGTAGCTACATGATGTCCAATGGCTATAAGCCAGCCCCTTTGGATTTGTCTGATGTGAAGCTGTTACCTCCTCAAGAAATTTTAGTGGATAAGCTTGCAGAAAATGCACACAATGTTTGGGCAAAAGACAGAATAAGACAAGGATGGACCTATGGCATTCAACAGGTGAGAAGTGCTGGGTCAGGCCTGCTGGAGAAGCCAGGAGATGTGATCATGCATTAAAATGCCATTTTGATTTGGTGGGTATTAGATTGGAAGGTGGAGGTTGCCCTTGCACTCTGTTCTTCATGCCTCAGCACATTCATTATTAATAGAATCATGGGACTGGATGGAATTTGTAATGGTCACATTGATATTAACTCCAGACATAATTCCAGTTTTTCAGCAATGGATAGGCTTACCTTTCCTTTGTTGGTCTGGTTCACTTGTGATCATGTTGCCCTGTGTATATGGCCACTGGCCGCATCTTCTCTCATTCCCCGTCTTGTTGCTTGTCTCACGGAATGCTGAGCTTTCATGCACTCTCCAAGGCCAAGGTAAGGCTCGCATAAATCCATGTCACAGCTCAGCAGTATTTCTGGGATGGTCCCAAGTATCTACCACTGAAGGGGAAAAGGAGGGGAAGGTAGCCCAGGAGAGGGGCAGACTAGCCCACCAAGAAGCCTGTGCCCCCTTACTTCAGTCCACAGGGCCAAGATTCTTGGGCAGGGTTCTTAGTTTATCCAGAGGCAGCCTGAGAGCCCAGCAAGGAATTAAGTGGAGTTTAGAACCAGGGATTGGCCCAAACCATCTGGTACACCTCTCACTCTGAAATGCCCCCCTCATCTCAGTAAGTACCGGGCTCAGTATCAGGGAAGTTCAAGGATAGCTGTGTGCACACGTGTTCATTCATTCCTGAGCCTCCAAACCTGCACACGTCTGGAACCAAGAAGACCACAACTGCGGAAACTGTGGCAGGGAAGGGAGCTGGGGATTCAAGATAGCATGTTAGGTTATGGTGACTTGTCACTGCTGTTGTCATTATTGTCTTCTTAGTCCCCATTAAGGAACCGAGGAGGACTGTAATGCAAATATGTGCCTACTGCAATGAAATGGCCCCACTGTGGCTCTGCCACCTTTTCAGATGTTTCTCTGTGAGCAGGGATGTCTATTAAGAACTGTTGGGACTTCCCTGGTGGCTCAGTAGTTAAGAATCCGCCTGCCAATGCAGGCGAAACAGCTTCGAGCCCTGGTCTGGGAAGATCCCACATGCTGCAGAGCAACTAAGCCCGTGTGCCACAACTACCAAGCCTGCGCTCCAGAGCCTGCAAGCCACAGCTACTGAGCCCGCGTGCCACAACTACTGAAGCATGTGCCTAGAGCCCGTGCTGCGCAACAAGAGAAGCCACCGCAATGAGAAGCCCGCGCACCACAACGAAGAGTAGCCCCCACTCACCGCAACTAGAGAAAGCCCACGCACAGCAACGAAGACCCAATGCAGCCAAAAATAAATTAATTAAAAAAAAAAAAAAGAATCTGTTGTGAGGAGGCCATAACTGTTTGAATCATGGCCTGATCTTTCATAAGGGAATAGTTACGCAAACGCCCATCTGCCTTGCCTTGGGAATGGAGGTTTCTAACCAATTTCATGACACTTCATTTTATTCACAGGCTGGCACTATTGAAATGGGTTTTTTACTGCCAGTTTTGGATGTTAGTACAAATTTTCCATTTATACTCATTTAATCTTGAAGCGGTAAATATGTACATTGGTAAATATCAAGGCACTGGGAGAAGCGCTAGCAGACTCACCCGAGGAAACCAGGACCGTTGCTGGGAGTATGTGAGTGGGACAAGCTCTTTGTAAAGATGATAATGCATTTTCTCAGCATCTCTTTTCTCTGGCTTCACATAGGATTTAAAGAACAAAAGAAATCCCCGTCTGGTGCCATACGCATTATTGGATGAGCGTACCAAGAAGTCAAATAGGGATAGCCTTCGTGAAGCTGTTCGGACTTTTGTTGGTTATGGCTATAACATTGAGCCATCAGACCAAGAACTAGGTAATCAATGGAGATTGTTCCCTCTGGCCCCAGTTTACTAAACAGGTCTTCTTCTGGCGGAATGCTAACTTTCAACAGGTCTAACTTGCACTATTAGGAATGCTGGTGGTGCTAAAGAGTGCTGAACTCAGTGGTGTATTTTAGAAGTGGGGGGAGGGAGGAGGGGCCACGTTGATAATAAAGCAGTGTCCCATTGACAGATGTTTCTGTAACGAGCACGTCTATGACATAATCCCACAGGGAATAAGTTATCCTCCAGCATAGCTGAGCTTTTCAGGATATTTGGTCACAAAACCAAGTTACCTTTATTTCTCTTGTTTTCCAAACATGTGAATATCAGCTTACTTTGGGGCCAGGCAATGTCATCTCTAAATTGAATTCTAGCACTGATTAAAATCACCAGCTTATGATTATTTAACATGTCACCGCCATCTCATACCCCAGGGGATACCACAGGCTAGTGGGGCAGTAAAACCTGGTTAAGGGGATGGATTTGGAGGCAGACAGACCTGGGTTCAAATCTTTGCTCTCCTTGGTTTATGGGGTCTAAGACCTTGAACAGGTGAAGCTCCCTGAGCCTCAATGTCTTCATCGGTAAGAGGAAGACAGTAATACTGATTTCATAGGATTATTGTGAGAAAAAACTGAGATTTAGTTTCTACTGCAAAGCAATCACTCACTGAATGGTAGCTTATATTGTTATTATGATATGATGATGATAGTGATGATTATATTATGAACAGAGTGCTGTATTGGCTAGTAGGAGATCTGTCATCAGCCTTTGCTGTTGAAAGTCTTTTGAGGAATGCTCCCTAAATATTAAACCTATGTTCTCTCTCTCCCTCCTGCACCCTCTACTCCCTTTTCTTCTCGATAGCCGACCCAGCTGTGGAGAAAGTCAGCATAGACAAGATCCGCTTTTTCCGGGTAGAGCGCTCTTATGCAGTGAGATCTGGAAAGTGGTATTTTGAGTTTGAGGTAGTGACCGGAGGAGACATGCGTGTCGGCTGGGCCAGGCCAGGCTGTCGGCCTGACGTTGAGCTGGGGGCCGATGACCAAGCCTTTGTGTTTGAAGGCAGCAGGGTGAGTCTGGCTGGTGTCCGCATGTCCTCAGTCCCGGTTTTTCTGCTTCAAATATTTCCCCAGAAGTGAAAAGTGCTGAGTATCTGGATCTCTGGCTTCAAAAGGGAGGAGCCACCACGCTGGCTAATTGAGACCATAGAATGATCATCACTTAGTGTTTGTCCCTTCCCTCTTTCCTCTGGAGAAGGGGAGGGCTGCACACTCTCGTCCTTTCCATAGTCGCCTCCGTATCTGCCTTGCCTCTGAGCCCATGTTCCCCTCTGCAGGAGAGGCTCACAGAACACTGTGCAGCCAGTATGAGGGAAAATCCTACCACTCTGTCTTAGAGGGAGTTCGGCTTGTTTTCATAGCGGACTAGGTATTGGGAGACTCAGGCCACCTTTTCTGATGAGCCTTGTATATCTTGGTTTCATTCATCTGTAGATAGACCACTTCTCCCTGTGAGTTGTCCTTGGTAGAAAGGGAAGTGCCTTGTAGAAACCAGGTGCCACTGCCCATTAGGAGAAATTATTCATGGGGTCATTTCTCCAGTAGTACAGGGCCCTCTAGGCTAGGACCTCCATTTCTCTGAGCCCTCGCTCTTGTTTTCTAGGGCCAGCGCTGGCATCAAGGGAGTGGGTATTTTGGACGGACCTGGCAGCCAGGAGATGTGGTTGGGTGTATGATTAACCTGGATGATGCTTCAATGATCTTCACGCTGAATGGGGAGTTGCTGATCACCAACAAAGGCTCTGAGCTTGCCTTCGCTGACTACGAGATTGACGATGGTAAATCCACCAGCTTTCCCCCCTTCCACCTCTACGAGAGGAAAGGAAATCTAGGAAGCAGGGTGAGATCTACCTCCTCACTTAGGACACACTGACCTTTGCAGATTTGAAACCCTGGTGGTGAAGATGAGATCTTATACTATCATTTTTGAAGGATCAAGGCAAATAATATTATGTGATAGGTGACGTGTGCAGTGTAAACATAAGTCTGAACTTGCCGAGAGACTGACCAAGGGGCTCTCCTCTAATCCCCTGCCCTGTGCCTTGGCATGTTAAGGTACCTCCCGTTTCCCGGTATCACAAAGGAAATGCTAATTGCATGTGGACTAATATCCCTGGCAGGAGAGAAAAGTTGGTGAGTTAAAGAATTATCCTCATATTCTGAATTGAACTGTCAATCTGAATGTCTGTGCAATTGAACTTGATGCTTTGATGAGAATCACTGAAACACAGAAGTTTGACTTAGCTGTTCCCTTGAATGAAATAGAATGAAATAGAATTTATTTTGAAAGTCAAGCATGCTATGAAACCCAAGCACACTTGCACTTGTTAATGGCCGTGAATAGACTGCAGTCAGGGCAGTGCTTCCGGCTACACAGAGGAGCGATGGGCGCTTCTGATTTCCCATCTACAGAGCTACGTTTTGTACCGAGGCTGTTGGCACCAGGAGAAGGGAGTACTGGACTGTGAGTTAGCTGACTCGCTCCTAACAAACTGTGTGGCTCCCAGACAGGCTTGGCTTGACTTCTCTGGGCTTTGCCTCCTTCATCTGTACCAGAAAACAGGATGATAGACTGCATAAGTGCCAACATCCTTCTCAGTTGTAAAATTCTGTGGCAGTGACTTAATACCAGCGGTGATCACACCCCTGTGCTTGGTGCTTTGCCCCTCTCTGCTGCTTCAGTACAGACGAGAAGGAGGCAGGGAGGTCGAGAGGAAAAGAGGCTGCTCTGGGTCAGGAGGCCTGGTTTCCCGTCCTGCCTCTGCCCTTCCCACCTGTGACATCTCGGGTTGACTTTATTTAATGTCTTTTTACCTCGTTTCCCCCTCTGTAAATGATTAGGGTACCTGGTAGCTTTAAATTTCTGAGACTTTACAAAAAGAAACAGTCCTCCCTCCCCACCCTGAAAGTTAAAAAAGATAAAACTGCACAGGCAAGGGCAGCAGAAATACGTGAGTATGTCTTTTTAATGCATATAAAATATTATGTATTTACAATGTGTTTTAGCTTTACAAAACACTTTCACACTTTTGGCAGACATCTATTATCTGCAACATGCATATCCACCTGTACCTTAAAAGAGCTTTGAAGATTTTTCTAAGAGCCACATATTTGGGGTAATAGAAAAGTTGCAAGTCACCATATTTTCCTAGAAAGACAGGATGACTGAAGCCAGATGGGGTCATATTTTAATGCCTTGTAAAAAGGTTTAAAATCAGAGTTCTGAAAAATATGTTTTTGGAAACAACTGGGAAAGATGTTGCCAGCAGAAAGAATGGTTTATGCACCGGTTCAGAGGCAAAGAGGGGGAAATCATGTCGGTGGGCATGAGGGCAGTGGAGACGAGCATCCTCTGGCACTGCTCTTTGGAAACATATTTACCAAGTACCCATCACAGGCAGTGCTCTCTTCATGAGGCTGGTGGAAAATGAAGAATTAGAAGATTCAGATTCATCCCCAAGGAGCGTAGCTCCCTAGAGAAGGAAGAGTCCAAAGACCAGAGACCTTGTTATGGCTCCCCTGAGTGTGGATTTGGGGAGGTTATGAGACTTTGGCTCAACCTAAGGAGGAGACAAGACTCTTGTCTATGTGCAGAGTTCTAAGAATTCTGTAATTTCTAAAGCCTTGCTACTCAAAGTGTGGTCCAGTTGTTATAAATGCAGACTCTCAGACCCCATGCCTGTCCTACTGATTCAGAAACTGCATTCAGACAGGACACTCCGGTGGTTCCCACACTTTAAAGTATGAAAAGCAGTGGTCTAAAGTATACACAACTGTAAATAGTAGCAAAATTAAGGAGTTCCTTTTCTAGTTGGAAAAATAGATCAGATGAAAATGTGGAAAGGTAACTACCAGTGGGAAGCGGTGGGTTAAAAATGGCAAATGACCAATGCAGGATGAAAATTCTATAAGAATGAGATTGGAACTGAAGGTTAAATGATAAATATGAGCTGTCTACCTCTGAGGAGAAGGGTCTTCTTCTTAGGGGATGTGAGTCGAGTAATAGTGTGGAATCGGGAAACTGCAGGAAAGAGTGATGATACATTTTGGAAGACTTGTGTATGGAATTTACAGAAGATGAAGGTGGAAGGAACAAGAAGGTGCAGATTATAGCCTCAAACATCAAGACTTGGTCTTTTTATTCAAAAAAACTTTATTTGTTGTCTAATCTGGGCCCAGCATCCTTGGACTCCACTCTCTATGCCATGGGGAGATGTCCTAGGGTTTGCGCAGAAGAATACTATAAAGAAGAGGGAAGTTTTAGGAGAGCTCCGTTCTTAGAGATCAGCTGTGCTGTAATGAAAGAGATGCCTCATACACCTTTTGTGTACAGAGACATGATTTAACCTTCAGAATAACTGAGTCTATTATTAACACTCTGTTTTATAACAGAATTGTACTGTACTGTGTTAACACACTGTACTGTAGTATTGTATCGCACTCTAATCACACAGAGACAAGATAATTGGGAGGCTCTTTCAGTTCTGTGATGGCTCAGGAGTCAGAGGAAGGGCAGTTGAAAGGGAGTCTGCATGCTTTTCTTTGATGACAATAACCCGGAGGCCTAGAATCACCATATAGCATCTCTCTATGCTCTGCATAAAGTGGAAAGAGGCAGCAATTCTTGCCTTGAGCTGTTAGGAAAAGCATCTGTTGAAAATAAGACATTTTGTGCATTATAGCCCCATATCAAGCAAAATCCCCTATATGTTTTTGTTCTGGTCACCAGCACCCCAGCCTTGATGCAGGCCATTTACCCCAGAGGGAGTTGTGCTGTGTGAAGTTTTTAGTCCTTTGGGGGAAGGAATGTGGGCAGGCACTACAGTTGGTTTTTTACCTCTGGGTTATTTATAAGTTGTCATCTCCATCCTCTCCTGTATCATAGATGATCTACTGTTATCGGCCTCATTAGAATTTTCCTAATCATTGTTCCCTGGCCTGGACCATCACAGCTCACAGTGTTATCACCAAAAGGCATCTGGAAGCTCAGAAGCTTCCACGGTGAAACCTTTGCTATTAGTGTTCTCTTTTATCCCATTTAAAGGAAAGGAAGAGAAGGTTCTGCACATGGTGCCAGACCTCAGAACATGCTGTCTGGAAGAGGCTTCAGTGCTGGTGTCCTGTTCTGCCTGTACCAGGCACTGTCCTGGGGCACCTCCTGCCTCGCTCCGGCTTCAGCGTCTGCAGGGGCAGCCTCCCAGGCTCTTCCTGCCACTGGCCTATCAGGGTTTAACAGATTCCCCAGCTCTGCTGGCAGCTCTTCCGTAGGCAGCAGATGAAACTTCCTTGCGGGCAGTGTCGCCGCCATCTGCGCACAGACACACTGGTACCCAAGCTTCCCCTGTCATTCTCTCCCCGGATGGGTGCTATGGCAGGGGAACGTGGCCTCTTGTTTCCTGTGTTTTCTGCAAGGCTTGTGACCATCTCAGTGCTGTCCCCGAACACCATCTTTGTGAGGCTTAGAAAATTAAAATTAATGGGTAAAACATGAGCTGCTGGATTAAGACTCTCAGAAACAGCCCAGGGATGGTCTGGGCACTCATTTAACCACCTCTCCCCAAGATCTGAGTCCTTCCATTACTGGGAGTGATTTGCTCTCATGTCTTTCTTCAGCTTGAAATGGACTAAAAATGGATCCATGGTTGGGATTGTGTAGATAATTGGTTTCTTTCCAGGCTCCTGAATTATAAAAAGATGACCTCCTGGCTGACTGTCCTCCTAATCACAAAGCCGTATGAGGCCTTGTGATTCAAAGTTTATCGGAACCTGGGGTCCTCTGCAGGATTTAAATGCGTGTGTTCTTGACATACCTTTCCTAGAACAGGAATTCTATGCACATCTAGGTTCCAAGCAAGGCCGTCTGCAGATTTTCTCCTCAAACCTCTTCAATGATGTCAGCATAATTACTTCTACTAGGCCGCATGTAGGGACGGAGTACTGCTTTTCCCCTTTATTTTTCCGTTTTCTTACTTCTCCAGTCTCATTTGAAGCTAGGGATTAATTGAGTTGTGTGCAAATCCTTGTGTGTGCACGACATTGTTCACAGTAATGCCAGGTGGCCTTACCAAGTGGACCTGTCCATCCAGATCAACTCCAGGGAGCCGTGTGGCCACTTGAAGAAGGCAGCCCCTCTCCTCCAAGGGGCTGTAGGTGGTTATAGGTCTCCAGCTGCCTGATCTAGAGGCAAACTAATCAACTACACGACACTTAGGAAAATCATCTGAAAAGTGAAGGAAGAGTTCATCACAAAGCCAGTCACTGGAGATAAGAATTAGAAAGCAGTCATCCGGGGCTCAGTCCCCATTGCTTGCTCTGGACTGCTCTCGGGCAGCCTTGTTCACATGCTGGCTCCACATACTTACCAAGAGACAGAACTTGAGCAAGTTATCAGCTTGCTAGGCCTCGGTTTCCTCATCTGTAAAATGGGCACAATAATGAGCTAAATCTGTGCAGCGCTGAGCCCAGGGTCTGACACCTAGAAAGTACTTGATAAATATTAGCTGGTAGGGTTTATCATCATTGTTCCCCCCTTATCTGTCTATCAAGCAGAGTTATCAAGTTACATGAAGTTGTAACTCCTCAAGTAAAGAAGTTGTAGAAATGGAGCAGAGTCACTCCACCAGGTGGAGGGAGCTGATTAAATATATTCAGTGTTCAAGTATTCTTCCCCAGGAGAAAGTGCTGGTGCCTCATGAAGATGTAGCTTTGCTCTCGGTCCTTTCTGGAGTTTCTCTTTTCTGGCTCAAGCCTGGGATTTAGCTTCTCGTCTGCTGCTCTACAGAGCTGTCCCCGCTGTGCCCACTTAGTCCCGAGGAGGTCCCTGACACTCCCTCCTGTTGCTTTGACATCCCCAACTTTTGTTTCAGAGTCTGTCTTCAGTCAGTGTTCAGCTCTCCCCCCATAGAGATCCTTCTGCCTCAGAGGGACAACACTCTGCTCTGTAATGCGTACAGCTCTCTGCCCTAGGACATAACTGCTGTTTAAATCTGGGGCATTCATCGCCTGTAACCTTCACCCCCTCTCTTGCACACTGACTGTCAGCTGCTCTGTGAGTCAGAGGGTGTAGGATCTTTTCCCATTTTGTCACTTGCCCTTCTTACAACCTTGGTCAAGTCTGTTAGCTCCTCAAACCTTCAGATTTATCTTCAGCAAAGTACTGTCCCCTCTGCTGATGGCTTAGGAACAACGAGGAGCCCAAGTTCCTTAGAAAAAAGACCTCATGCAGATATGACCTTTCTTCCTTTCTGCATGCATCTTGCATTGTCAGGGGGTCTATAACTATGAAGTCATTGATATGATCTGGGTTATTCAGAAGTCCTCATTGTTTTTGAATCTGCTGCTTACTTATCCCATCATTCAAGTTATTGGAGAAGAAAGGGGAAGAGAGACTTTCTTTTTTTTATTGATTTTATTGAAGTGTAGTTGATTTACAATGTTGTGTTAATTTCTGCTGTACAGCAAAGCGATATATACATGCTTTTTCATATTCTTTCCCATTATGCTTTATCACAGGATATCAAATATAGTTCCCTGAATGTTTATCCATTCTGTATATAATGGTTTGCATCTGCTAATCCCAAACACCCAAATAGCCCTCCCCCACCCCTACCCCTTGGAAGCAACAAGTCTGTTCTCTATGTCTGTGAGTCTGTTTCTGTTTCCTAAATAAGTTCATTTATGTCATATTTTAGATTCCACATATAAGTGATATCATATGGTATTTGTCTTTCCCTGTCTGACTTCACTCCCTATGATAATCTCTAGGTCCATCCGTTTTGCTGCAAATGGCATTATTTCGCTCTTTTTTATGGCTGAGTAATATTCCATTGTATATACGTATCACATCTTCTTTATCCATTCATCTGTCGATGGACATTTAGGTTGCTTCCATGTGTTGGCTATTGTAAATAGTGCTGCTTTGAACATTGGGGTGCATGTATCCTTTTGAATTATGGTTTTCTCTGGATATATGCCCAGGCATGGAATTGCTGGATCATACAGTAGGTCTATTTTTAGTTTTTGGAGGGGCCTCCATACTGTTCTCCATAGTGGCTGCACCAACTTACATTCTCACCAGCAGTGTAGGAGGGTTGCCTTTTCTCCACATCCAAGAGAGATTTTCTTAAGATGTCCTATCTCTGCTCACATCATGGCTGGAATGCTTCAAAATCATGTCTCCAACATAAAACTACTATAGTGGTACTTTTCCAGGTTGAAAATCAAAGTACTATCTTGCAGGTGCGGATGTCTTACCACACAGCATTCACTCTTGTGCGTTCCATTTGTCGTGCCCACTTCTGTAAGCTGCTGGTGATCAAGAAGGTTTCTTTTCCTTCCTTCACATCTTCTCATAGCATAGAGCAGAGCCCGCTGGCCCAGTAGGGACCCAAAAGTTTTGCCAACAATCGGTCCTTATTCCATACTGGAATCAGATCTCCAAAGACTCCTCATTTATAAAAATCTCTGTCTCTAGAAGGGGATAGTTTCATCTATCCCAGTCTCGAATGCCATGCCAGAAACATAGCAGTGCTCAGGACGGTGCATGAATCTGTGCTTGTCTGATGGACCAGACCGTCTGCCTTACCGAGTGGTGGGACCACCGGTCCCCGGTGGTCCTGGGAGGAGGTTCTTTGTACAGACGTCACCGTCATTGCTAGGATTTCACTGGCGCTCTCTTAATCAGAAATAGTATTAAATAGTGTCCTAAATGAGTTCATAGTTTCTGAAAGCAATCAGCTCAGCTTGGGAGGGATTTATCTTTCACTTACGAGACTTATTTACATAGAAACTTGGTGCCTTAGATAATAGTACCTAAGCACTGGTTTTAGGAGGAGTGCATTTTGCCTTTGGTCTCTATGAGCGACTTACTGTTGAACATAAATTCTCTCAAAATAGACCTTTAAACGTCCCCTTAAATAAGCACCGCCATCCTAGGAGTGATACGGTTTTCCTTGTAGGGACTCCAAGCCCTGCTTTAGCCACCAGCCTCCGAGCCCTTCGTCCTTTTCTGAGCTCTCCTGGCAGCCTCAGCTGCCCTCCGGCTGCCTGCCGCACATCTTCCCAGATCTGGGATAATTAGTGCTTTCCCAGTTCCGCTGATTTGTTGGTCCACAATTATGATTCATAAATAGCCAACAAACAAGAACACCAAATAATCTGAACTTCTGCCTTGGGTCTGTTCTGCCTGGCAGTGTTATAATATTATGAGGATACAGAAGAGAGCTTGGAGAGGCAGTCACTGTAAGAGCGAACAGAGTTTTCTGTGTCTCCTGCTTGAAAATCTCGCTTTCCTGCTTAGGAGGGGGCTACAGCAGAAGGCTGGGAGGATGGGGTTTGTAAACTGTATTTTGTAAACAAGCAGAGTCATTGTGTTAGCATCCAAAACTTCTTAGGAGCGTACTCTCAAAATGACACGAACCATTAGACCTCTCATTTCACTGGAGAAGATGCTGAGACCTAGAAAAGTTGGGTGGTTTACACCAAGTCATTCTTTAGGCGTTGTTTTGTTTGGGGACAGTATTTAAAATTACCTAAGGGCCTAAGATATGGAAGCAAGCTAAGTGCCCATCAACAGATGGATGGATAAAGATGATGTGGTATGTGTCTATACACACACACACACACACACACACACACACACACACACACACACACTCATATACATACAATGGAATATTATTTAGCCATAAAAAAGAATGAGAATCTGCCATTTGCAACACCATGGGTGGATCCAGAGAGTATTATGCTTAGTGGAATAAGTCAGACAGAGAAAGACAAATACTCTATGTTATCACTTATATGTGAAATCTAAAAAATAAAGCAATTGAAGGAGTATAACAAAACAGAGACAGACTCACAGATATTGAGAACAAACTAGTGATAACCAATAGGGAGAAGGAAGTGGGGAGGGTCAAGTTAGGGGTATGGGATTAAGAGACACAAACTACTATGTATCAAAGAGATAAGCAACGAGGATATATTATTGTACAGCACAGGGAAATATAGCCATTGTTTTGTAATAACTTTAAATGGAGTACAGTCAATTAAAATATTGAATCACTATGTTGTACACTTGAAACTAATATATTGGAAATCAACCGTACCTCAAAATATATATATATATATATATCTCCAGAGATAAATAAAATAAAATAAAATTACCCAGGGCCTAAAATCAGTTTTAGCTAAGGCATGGATAAAGAATTTCACTTTTTCTCTTATTGGTTTTACTTTTCCAGCTGATATTTATTTATGTCTTAAGAAGAATTTTACCTAGATGATTGTTTTTTTTCAACAAATCATTTTGAACCAGACTCACTTTTCTTTCCCATATACCAAGGGCAGCCGTAAACTCCATGTGACTTCCTGTTGTTGAGTTTATGTGCCAGGAAGAAAGAAAAGGACGCTGTCCCGTCTTTCCGTCTTTCCTGCTG